CCCCCCCTTTTTCCCCCCTATTTTCTTCCCCACCTCTTTCAGTGGAGTCACTGCTAGTGAGGAATCATAGAGATCCTATTCTTTATACTATTACTAGTTACTGAGAGTATACCTAAGGTTCGAATATGAATTTAAGGTGAGCTTAGTTAATACTTCATCGTTATACACTTGATAATAAATAGAGTCAACGGTGACTCCGCCGTGGGAAGAGCCGCTTCTTTCTTGCTTGATTGGGGTACTTCTATTCACCAGGGCAGACTAAAAGTGCTCTCCAAACCGTGCTGGGTCGTCACCCATCACACGGCTCTCAAACCCAACCTGTGGTGGATCTCAGGGGACAAAGTCAAAGCACTTGATCCTTTGCCCCATACTTTGAGATGCTCCTCCCCAATGATGTTTTTTCTTACTAATTGTTCCCCTAAATCATTGTTCTTTGGTCATTCTACAGTTGTTTTATTCCAGTTGCTATTTGCGACTGCTACACTATAAAACTATTAGAACTGGTCATAAAACAATATAGCCAAATGGTTGACTATCTACCCGGAAAAAAAATAGTCAAACAGATCTTTGGCATTTTGAGATTTGAGGAAGAGAGGAAAGCCAGGGAGTGGGGGTCTAAGAAGGTCGTACAGCTGAAAACAGAGAAAGTGGACTATATCAGCACAATGACTTTTAACCATGTCATAGTGTGTGTTTTATGTTCACAAACTTTACAATCATAGCTTTCACTATTTTCCTTTCTTGATCTACTGTCTCCATGCTCAACAAACATGAAATCTCAAAATCAGCAGTAAAATGTCAGGCTTACGAATCAAGCAACCGAAACCAGAGGGACTCAGACTCATCAGGATCCAACCGAGGGCTGTTCCGCTGGCACAGTCCTACACAGGCATGCACTATGTCGAGTATGTCATTCACCTGCAAGAGAAACATTAAAAATGAAAATTTGTTTGTCTGAGGACCCTATTTATAAATATTGTCCAGTTCACCCCCACCCGGAATTTTTTTTTTTTAAAAAAAAAAGCTGCAGACCTTGTCTCCCTTCAAAACAGCATTGAAATTCTCCATACCACCATCAGAAAGTATACTTCCAACAGCGGCATCAAGCATGATGAATTTGTTGTTGACATCAGAAAGCAACAGTAGAAGAGCACTCCCAACATCACCAACCCTTTCTAATAAGAAAGCAGCAGCATCTATAATCCCATATTCCTGGCACAAGCGTAAACAGTGCTCCACCCTATAGCTTTCATAAGTCTCCAGGAATTTGAGAACTGAATTGCGCTCATACCGACATAAAAGCTGCAGAAGTAAAACGCGAATTTTTTTTTTTTTGATAAGACGCACCATTTTATTGATAAAATGCGGAAATTTTTTAATTCTAGGTGCTAACACAAAGTGAAGAGGCACTTCCAAGGGATTTCGCAAACATCATGTACTCATTTAAGTTAAAAAAAAATAAGAGAGTCATATGAAAAACCCTGCTTTACTGGGTGCCAAGACACATAAAAATACAGAAAAAATATTGTTGACAATGCATGACAAACAAAGACTAGAACTGAATGATTTTGTAAGAAGTTCAAGATAAGATCAATTGAAGATAAAATGGGAGATTGTATGCCGTTGTTTAGTGGCTATGATGAACAGTGACCAATAGATTCCCTAATGAGAAGGAACAAAGGTAAACGAATGCACCACAAAGACAGAGGAGCGGTGAAAACTAGAAGCCAGTCAAAAAATGAAAGGGCATTAAACCTCCACTATAGACTCATCTAAGCACCTGCTTTCAAACATCCAAAACAGTTTTATGAATTCAAACAAGACCAGGGGAAACAACTTTTTCCAACGAAAAAAGTAACCCTTGTCAAAACAGGAAAGGCCTACGAAGGAAGTAATATGGGGTATGGAAATGAAAGTATGGTCCTCGAATGAGTAGAACCACCAACAGCACAACTCAAATAACCTTTACTCCAAATATTTGGGGTTGGCTATACTAGTCATGTTTCCCCAAATAAGATGCCTACATAGGAGTGATAGAACTTTAGGGAGCTGGGACATTAGCTCGAGGTCCAACCAGTACATACACACAGATACATATTCACATGAGTACAAACAACTGCATACACAAATTACACTCATGTTTACCTCAAGATACAGCTCTATCATTTCATCAGTCACATGAGTTGGATTATTCCGAAGGCACTTTGGAAAATTAGAGATCCTGTCCAAGTAAGCCTCAATTCTATCTGGCTGACCCCTCGCCCTTCTACTAGGAAAATCAATGACATCCATTTTTCTCAAAGAAGAAAAGTCAAGGGTGCCAGTTGAGTGAGATTCTATAACCGTCTTTAGATAAAGGAAAAGGCTTTCTGGGTGAGAGCGTAGCTCAGACAAAATGTGCGGACTTTCTCTACCAAATTGGTCAAAAACTAGTAATAAAGTGCCCTCTCTGCAACAGATAAGAAAAGCATGAAATTTGTCATCAAGAAGTAAGCTTCATTAACAGAACTTTATGCACAAATTAACATTTGAACCAAAGACCTGTGAAAGACCCATAGTTATTGAAAGCATCACCTGCTTAATTTGACCAGATCTGGAATTCGAGAAATCACTGCTGATTGAAAAGCATCAAATTCACTGCCTCTCAGTTGTACTAATGTCTCACAAATAAAGGAGAAGGCATGGATGGGTTCTTCCACATCTTTCATATAGCTATCCAAAGCAGCAAGATAATGATGTCTTATTGAATGAATAAAGCCACAAACCTAATCAATAAATAAACAAATAAAAATCTCTGATGAATAACTTATTTTGATGAGTTTATGTGCAAGGGAGGGAGGGGGAAGTGAGAAATCTAATAGATACCTGGTAAAACTGTGTTTTTTCACATAGATGTAACAAGCAAGAAGCATCCCAGTCTGTATCAGGAACTACTTCCAAAAGCGCAAGCACCTGCTTCTCCCTTCTTTTTAATGTTGCAATAATTTGCCTTGGTGAAAGATTTATCTCTGATGTCAAGTACTCCAAAATCTGGCTCAATATATCTTTTGAGACATTAGCTCTTTGACAGGCAACATAATAAGCAATGAACTCAAATATATGACCTATGTCTTTCTTTGAAGGCCAAATTTGTATAGATCTACCATCATCGCAGCTTGTAGACCCGTCTGTTTGGAAGTCTCCTGCATCAAGAACAAGAGCAAGAACATTCACTATGTCTTGGACCAAATTCTGCTTTTCAGCCATTAAGGCAATTGTTTCAGCGGCATCCACATTTGAATTGGCTGAATCATGCAAAGGATGGTCTGATTTTGGAACTTTATCCTCCACGAATGAACATCTCAAAACATCCAAAGTAGCTTCAGTATCTAACTCCAAGAGATGATAAAGGTTTGGATATGTTCTAGAGGATGCCAAGTTTGGGACTGCCTGTGAATTTGAAGCATCAAAATCCTCCAATAGAAACTGCAAAAGCTCTTTTCGAAGAAATGACAGGCGTGTAGGAGGAAGGGTTCCATGTCCTGGAAAATAGAGACATGTTAATGCTTTATTGTTCCTCATCAATTACTTGACATTAAACTCCAGAACATGTCATGAAGATCAAACAGTACAAGTCATACAGCTTCAAGTGCACATAACCAGAAAATTTGCGCCCCATATACATTAGACCTCACCACCTATGGCCAATTAGTTTCAGATTGCACACCTCTAACATACTACTATACTAGGGACTATCCCACATCGATATAATAAAACCTCCTAAACTAGTATGCACCTTGTGGTCTTGTTTGCACATTGTGTTTTGGATTAGATGCTCTAAAATAGTACTAGAGTTGGTCATGGGTGGTCAATGGACCTAGTCTCTCACTCATTTGAATTTACTCATATTCATGTTTGTTTTTCTATTTGTTATCTCAGGTGTGAGCTTGGATCCCATGTTGGAGCTGTAAGAGAGCGGGTACACACATTACTAGATTAACCCACTAAAAGTTACTTCATACGGTTGCATGGTCTCTCCACTCATTATCAATTTGTCTTTGGTTGGATGCTCTAACAACGTAATTATTTTTTTCTCGTGTTTTAAGAGATAAAAAGTAAAATGGCACAACTAAACAATAAGACATTAGCACTATAGCCAATGATCAAAATTTCGTTTCGATTCATTGTTGCGGTCACATAGGANGTTCATATGGTTGCACGGTCTCTCCACTCATTATCAATTTGTCTTTGGTTGGATGCTCTAACAACGTAATTATTTTTTTCTCGTGTTTTAAGAGATAAAAAGTAAAATGGCACAACTAAACAATAAGACATTAGCACTATAGCCAATGATCAAAATTTCGTTTCGATTCATTGTTGCGGTCACATAGGAAACAGAAACGTTTCAAAGTGTTTCAGAAACGTTTCAACTTGTTTCAGAAACAGAATGAAAAAAATAAAAATTTAAGAATTATTATTCTAAGACATAGGTCGATATATACCAAAGTATCTTAAAATACCTTGAAACATTTTAAAACAATTGTGCAAATACATTGAAACATTACAGAACACCTCGAAACGTTATGAAACAACTCGAAGTATTAGAATTTCAATTCTATCACTGATTCGTTTTGATCTCCTTGGATATGGAAACGTTTTGGACGTTTCAAAACAAAATTTTGATCCTCGACTATAGCGTATATAATTATAATATTCAGAATGAGNCATATACCAAAGTATCTTAAAATACCTTGAAACATTTTAAAACAATTGTGCAAATACATTGAAATATTACAGAACACCTCGAAACGTTATGAAACAACTCGAAGTATTAGAATTTCAATTCTATCACTGATTCGTTTCGATCTCCTTGGATATGAAAACGTTTTGGACGTTTCAAAACAAATCCAAAACAAAATTTTGATCCTCGACTATAGCGTATATAATTATAATATTCAGAATGAGATGAAAAGCTCCAGCCACATTGGAAGAGAAAATTGCACCAGAAATCAATGCCCATTCTAGTATATGCAAATATAGATATTGCAGAAAATAAAAGAAACATTGTATACCGAAGTACATCCTCGACACCATACTAACAAATAAATTTGAAGATGCAGATTACAATCTTGTCAAATCGAGAAGTGTTTTCCTACAAAAATTTCAATTGGATAAAATGTAGCTAGAGCATCTTCAAACCATACCTGGGGGGAAAGCAAGACCCTGAAAGCAGTACTTCAGGTAGACAAGCATCCTGTACCTGTTTCCATCAGCAGTGTTGACATTACTTGAAAATTGTACCACAAACCTAAAAACCTAGCTTATTTGAAGTAAAGTTAGAGCAAATAAATCCAAAAGCTCTTAACAAAATCCTCTACCGAACCACCACCTAACAGTAGTTGGGCTGTGGTTATCAGCCAAAAAGTTTCCCCACTGGTCAGGACCTCAGGTTGACCTCAAGTGAACCAATTCACAGAGTCCCAATGGCAGCCCCACTACAAACCAACCAACAAGCTAACCAAGCATAGCTGCCCTTCATACTCTAAAGAACCTACATTCTAAAATTTATCTTGAAACAATTTTGGCATTTTCTGTGAGCAGAAAAATACCTCTTGTATATACCACTCCTCCACAAAGGCATTTAACAAAGAATTGTATTCGAATTGAGTTGCATTTAGAAAAGAAAAAGGCGAAATATCAGTTAAGAGGTATCTATCGAGAAAAAAACTCTTGCCCAGCAAAACAAAGAAATAAGGTAATAAAATGCTCACAAGTNAAAATATCAGTTAAAAGGTATCTATCAAGAAAAAAACTCTTGCCCAGCAAAACAAAGAAATAAGGTAATAAAATGCTCACAAGTTTTCCACCGTCTGTTTATGAATATGTAATAATACTAGCTACAAGAAATGTACCCAAGGGAAGTAGCACTTTCTCCTTGGCTATTCCGCAAAACAACCAGGAGCTCCTCTAAAGGTGCCCTGAAATCACCCAGACCTTTGTTAAACAAATATATCAATGCACCATACAATCTGTGCTCCCGGCATAAGCGAACAACCTACAATACCAGTTACAACAATATCCAGCTAACCGTGAGTAAAAATTTGCAGAATGGAACAATTAATTGCATACCATTCAAAATTGTATACTGGGAATTAACAACATAATAACTGACACAAAAACAAGTACAAATACAATACGACCTGATTGAAATCCAAGGAAGAAATGTCCATGTGCAGAACACATTGTTCAACTCGCTGCAACCAACCTTTCATGCTATAATGCTCTACCAGTGCTTGCATTATCTTTACAAGATTAAACAAGTAATTAAGTAGTTAATGTCCATAGGGATACAAGAAACAAGTAATTAAAACTGTAGTTAAACTGTCAATGGTTCTTAAAGCATCTAAGTGAGCAATACCTCAGGTGGTAGGGATCCCAGCATGTCTTTCAAAATATATGGTTCCAAAAGCTCCAAAAATGTCTCTATCCAAATTAAAAAAAAAAAAAAGAGAGAATAATTAAAAATAATGTTTGGATGGACAAGAGTCCACATGTAGCAACAAAAAGGGTGCAATAAAGCCCACACAATTCACTGACACTTAGATTGCAGCCGAGACAAGCAGAGTTAAGAACATACAAATCAAAATTTTACCAATGATAAATTAATTCAATCAAGAACCAGAAGAGAGAATATCATTCGGCATGTTATTAGTCAATGGATATCTATCTCAAATACATTATGCTAATAAAACCAAAAGTTCTGGTGTATTGTAAATAAGGGATTCCTATTGAACAGTTGCACAGCTGATCATTCTCTTTCAGAATAGTCAACCAAGTCTCAATAGTAGCTCAAATTATTTTTAAGATTTTGACAATTTTCCCATTAGAAAATTTAACTGTTGAGGAATCTAGTGGGAAACATGTACACTAATGACAAATTTGTTATGTGGGTTGACTATTACAGTTTTGGTACCAATTTGAATTCTTTGGATTTTACGAATATTCTCCTTCAAGTATATTTGAGAATAAAGCAAGAATCAAGATATGAAAAAGACATGACTAGACCCATGCAATACTGAGTGTAACATCAACTCAGCCAGTTGCAGTAAAAAAATCTTCAACACTTAAAGCAAGGTGTGTTAAGGAATTGAAAGAAATTACGTACTTGTGTCATAGTGAAATTCTCTTCAGCAGTATCATTTTATAGGATGTTAAATTTGTGCCGTATCCATTGAATAACAGGTGATGTTTGGATGATTATTTCATTTGTGTTCTTGGTGAGCTACAAAGAATTTATTCATTGCATTTTTTCAAAATATTGACCCAAATGAGAATCACTCAACATCAACAGTAAATCACTGTCANCGTATCCATTGAATAACAGGTGATGTTTGGATGATTATTTCATTTGTGTTCTTGGTGAGCTACAAAAAATTTATTCATTGCATCTTTTCAAAATATTGACCCAAATGAGAATCACTCAACATCAACAGTAAATCACTGTCATCTTTGATATATCTAAATGAAAAAAAAGAGTGCTGATTACCTCACCTCTACAAAGAAAATCAGACCAAAACTGAAACTCAATAAAAATAGGTATAGCAATAAACAGCAATATTAAATGCACAAGGACATACCTTTCTGTTGAACAGTCACAAATCTGGAAAGAATCTCTTCAAAAAGGATGTCAGTTCTCTTGATATGGACACAGAATTCTACTGCAACACCACCAACGCGGGTGAATTGTTCTTTTATCTCTGAGTGCACAGAACTGCTTCTGTTCTTTGAGTCATCTGATTGATCTAGCTTTCCAATTTGGTTGCCAAATGCCACTGATATATACGAAAATACTTCATCAACGTATGACAAAAGCAACTGTACTAAGTAGGGCATTATGGCACTCTGTACATCATCCAAGGTTCTAGGAAGGTCAATAACGCCGTGTGCTTGACCATCATAAAGTGTCATCGCCATGTTCAAGGCACCCATCCAATCACCTGCTCTCTGCAGAACTTCAATCCGTTCCTTCCATGGGAGAAGGCGGGAAACAAGAAGATGCATAGGTCCAAGTATATATGTAGTAGCCCCTCTTACAGCTACACAATTGTGGTAAGCTTTTTCAGGGTTTCCAAAAATATTAGTAAAGTAGGTGTGGTACGCAATGAGATCATCTCCTTGAGATCCATCTACAGCAAAACTTGTCTGGTGAATCATAGTACCATCTTTTGCAAACAAACAAAGTTGTCCGGTAGATGTGAGAACCACCAACATCTGGACATGTTCAAAATCAGCAATATTACTTTTATTTCCATCCAAAAATGACAAGCAACAAAACCCTCCATGTCATGCATAAAGAGTGATTACAAGAAACAATTACATAATAATCTGAAGGAAAAGACGTAAAAATATAGTTTACATAAACAGAGGAAATTTTAAATAAAAAAAAAAAAAATCCATACCTGATCATCTAACCATGCCACCCCTGTTGCTGAACTGTCAAGGGTCCATTTCCCATATATTTTCAGCTCTGATTTCACCAACTTTGCTACCTGAACTTTCCGATCCCAAGCAATGGCAAGCAGTGAAACTTTTTCAGGTGCTTGCATGGGCACATTTCCTGCGGAAGCAACATAATTTAGAAAGTAGTGAATGTGAAATTCAACCAACTCCATCTATACGCACCAGTGGAAGAACCATTCGACTGTGCCATACATTTCCAAGCAGCATAAGGCATAGAACCCTCCCGAACCCCCTCAGGCTTGGGGAGTTGTGAATATGCTTTTACATCACCAGTTACTTTAGCCTGTCGCATTCACATTGCATTTAGCACATTGTAAGTTAGAATCCCAAATGTGTTAAAGGCATAGGCATCAATCCAAATGACAATGTACTTGAAATTCAAGCAATATTCCAAAAGCATCATACCACCAAAGCAGATTGATGAGTGACAAATATGACCACACCTTCTTCTACCAAAGATGAGCCCTCGAAGAGTTTCCAACCAGCATCTCCTCCAACGACACCTCCCATCATGCTACCAATACCACTGCCAGAAACTGTAGTGTTCCCCTGAGAGATCGTCGAAGCACCTCCATGGAATTCACTAGAAAGTAAGGGCGATGCACATAATACAGTGCTTGTTGTTTCATCAAGGAGTTTCTGTTTTGACGCAGTTGAGGCATAAAAAGAGGTTATTTAATCTGAGGATGATAGTCTTTACTACAAATTCAATACAACCATACAAAAGTTCATCTACCAAATGTACAATTATCTTAAAGGATGCAGCCTTACCGTTGTTTTGAAGGAATACCTATTAACCCAAGGCATCACCGTGAAATGGATCAACACAACCAAACCCTTACTATCGCCACTAATCACATTAAACTGACGAGTAACTTGAGAATCCTGCCCCAGGTATAACAAGTGTACTACAGGTGCATTATGTTCACTAATTACTTTCACTGCAGATGCTTTCTGCACATCCCAAGCAGTAATATGCCCATCACCATATCCCACAAATAGTAAGTCCCCTTGCTGATTAAAGCACATGGAAGTTACGGCAGCATGAGACCTATCCCCTTGTAGTCCAAGCATCACTGTCTGAAATTGAGATTTTTTCATTAATTGATACATGATAATTTTGACAAAGGACAATGACTTCAATGTAATAAAATACTAAACCCAATGCTGCTTGACATGAATAGATGTTTGGAATATGAAAAAGTGTCCTCCATATGAAGGAATGGTCATCTCAGATGCTTTGATCTCTCTGAATTACAGCGTAAGACCTTTGACAAGTAACAGTTGACACATTATTTATCAGAATCTACAGATCTTTCAGCCACAGGGAAGGTGCAACACACACACACACACACAGAGGGAAGGTGCAACACACACGCATATATATATATATATATATATATATATATATACATATACATAAAATAAGGGAGCTAGCATCCTTTATCTTGAGCTTTTCATGGCTAAGATTGTTTTAAGATTATTGATCCAACGCTCAAGAATTAGACCAAGAGTTTCATCTCATGTCTAACCCTAAACTCCTATCTCTCACACATCTCTATCTCTCTCTCTCACACCCCCCTACCAAAGCCGCAGCTCCACCCTTGCCAAAGCCGCAGAGCCACCGCCATCCCCAAGTAATTTTTCACCTCCTTCGCTCCGTCCTTCGTCCTCTTTGCCTCCCATACCAAAGCCGCAGCCCACTGTTCGCCTCCAAACCACCCCCACCACGTCTGTCTTTCTCTCTCTCTCTCAAAAATACACACATACCCAGCCAACACCGTAGAGCCACCACCTCCAAACCCCAACCACCACTGTTCACCGTCAAACTCCACCACCACGCCTATCTCCCCTTCTCTCTCTCTCTCTCTCTCTCACCCAGCCACCGNTCTTTCTCTCTCTCTCTCAAAAATACACACATACCCAGCCAACACCGTAGAGCCACCACCTCCAAACCCCAACCACCACTGTTCACCGTCAAACTCCACCACCACGCCTATCTCCCCTTCTCTCTCTCTCTCTCTCTCTCACCCAGCCACCGCCGCACCGCCACTGCCACCAAATCCCACCCACCACGCCAATCTCTCCCTCACACACACACACCCCCTGCCAACACCACAGCGCCTCCGCCTCCAAACTCCAACCACCACCACATCCCACTGCCACCAAAGCCGCCTATTCGCCTCCAAACCCCCGGCCAGCCATCGCATCCACCCCTTTTCTCTCCTTCGTCACTGCCACATTCAAACCCCGGTCCAACCATTGTCGCATTCAAACCCCATTCAGTGTGTGTTCTCTCTTTCTCTCCAACTCCCTCTCTCTGTCTTCGCATTTTTTGGTGTGTTTTGTGTGCTTTTTGTGTTGTGTGCGTTTTTTGTTTGTGTGTGTCCTGTGTGTGCATGTATTTTCTTTTGTGTGTGTGTGTGTGTGTNTTTTGGTGTGTTTTGTGTGCTTTTTGTGTTGTGTGCGTTTTTTGTTTGTGTGTGTCCTGTGTGTGCATGTATTTTCTTTTGTGTGTGTGTGTGTGTGTGTTTTTATATGTTGTGTGTAGGGGACCAACAGGAATGTAAAAAATTGAATCATTGTTGGATTAGTCGTATGTATCCCTTAATTCTTTAGTTCGTTACTCTTTTTTAACATGTTTTATTTTATTTTTTGCAATTTGGTGATTTTGAGTTCTAAAATTATATTTTTCTTTTTTCGATTTTGAAGTAATTTCATATTTACTTGGAAGCAATAAGCCAAGGAATATTCTCTTATCATATGTGGTAAAGTACAATTTAGTTCACCTTTTTTTTAATGTCATTTATATGTAATATTTGTGTCTAAGTTATTCATTTTGTTGTGAACAAAATTTCATTCGAGTTTTTTATGTGTGATGCAATAACAAAGCCAAAAATTATTATTGTGTCTAGATTTGTTTAAGTGGCTCAATTAAAGAGAGACTTATAATTTGTTTTGGACATTGTTTAGCTTGAGCTTGAACTCTTTATTGTTGAACTTTTGTGTCTTTATGTTGAATCTAAAATTAGGTATCTAAATTCATCTAGGATTTTCATTGATAATGGTTTTTATATAGATTATTTTTGTAGGTTAATTTATGGGTTTTCATTTTTCTCCTGCATGTGGGTGCGGATGTGGTGGAAGAGGATTGTGTAGATGTAGAATTTGATATTTATGTTATTTGATTGGGGGCGAGTTCTCATCCTTCTTTCCGATTCACCAGACAATTAAGTATCGATTATGTTTTATCTATTTTTATATTTTCTGGGTTTTGCTATACATGAGTGCTGNAGTATCGATTATGTTTTATCTATTTTTATATTTTCTGGGTTTTGCTATACATGAGTACTGGTGTGGGTGTGGGTGTGGNAATTAAGTATCGATTATGTTTTATCTATTTTTATATTTTCTGGGTTTTGCTATACATGAGTGCTGGTGTGGGTGTGGGTGTGGATGGGCGATGATTTTGGTGTGGAATTTGATAGTTTTTATTGCCTTTCAGGATTGTGTGAGCGAGTTTTCATACTTCTAGAAGCTTCACTAAACAAAAATTATGAGGTATTTTGATAATTTTCTAACATTATTTTTTAATTAGATTATAGTTTATTATTATTTTATCTTAAAAACTTGAATTGTTTTATTTCTAACAAAAGTAGTTGTTAGTTAAGAGGGTTTGTCAGTAATTAAAAAAGAAATGTATGTGGTTATGTTTTTGTGTATATTTAAATGTGGGGATTGGACATTTGGTAATTGAATTTATATTNTTTATCTTAAAAACTTGAATTGTTTTATTTCTAACAAAAGTAGTTGTTAGTTAAGAGGGTTTGTCAGTAACTAAAAAAGAAATGTATGTGGTTATGTTTTTGTGTATATTTAAATGTGGGGATTGGACATTTGGTAATTGAATTTATATTTATGTTGTCATTGAGGTTGAATGGTGTGAGTGGTGATAAATTAATGCGTTTTATAAATGAGTAAAATTTTGTTGATTTTATTTATTGCTTACAAATTGTGAATTTAATTATGTTCTGTTAGTATTTATTTGTTTTTGCTCGTCGACCTGCTTTAATTTATCTAAATGTGATCTAAGCAAGTTCAAGTGCTTGAAGAGCATAACAAATATGATTACCTCAATAAGATATTCCCTTCATTCTTCCTCTATGTTGTTTCCGGAATCTGGTTCTTTTAGAGTTATAGTTGATGGTTGTTTCTGAATTCCATCTCTACCACAGAACTGGGCGTGAGAGTTTCTTCTCATCCAGCTCCTCGCGAATAACATAAAAAAGGATGAAAAAATATTTCATTTGAATGTATAATTTATATAATATTTTATAATTATTGCTTTTATTTATAAAAAATATTTTTTTATAATGTTATAATGAATTTTTATTTTGTTTTGCCCTTTTATCGTATTGGATTGCCCCAAATTTAGCAATCCAAGAAAATAAAGTTTTCGCGGAAGAATATCTACTCTTTCAATCTCTATTTCAATTGTATAGTTAGCTCGNAACAATCCTCTTTGGATAATTCGTCTAACCCAAGGATAGCTATAATGTCCTGAAGGTCTTTGTAACGTTGCAAAGATTGCTTAACCTTTTGCCCAGTTTTATAATGTTCTTCACCAACAATCCTTCCCTTTTGGGCCTGTTATGGGCAGGGAGGGATTTGAACCCCCAACACCGTGGTTCATAGCCACGTGCTCTAATCCTCTAAGCTACAGGCACCACCCCGTCTCCGCTGGATCTATTCCCGAGAGTACCCTAAAAAAAAGAACATTCTCTCCACAGTGAGGAGTCTCAATTAATCAATGTTAATCAATCGAATTGATGAATACATCAAATATTTGGCGGAGGTGGATTGCAAATTTGGTGATTGAGTTTATAATTATGTTGTGTTATGGGGTTGAATAGTGACAATGATGATAAATTTATACGTCTTCTAAATGAGCAAGATTTTATTTATTTCTTACAAATTATAAATTTTATTAAGTTCAGTTAGTATTTATTATTATTATTTTTTTGAGGTATTTGTATATTTGGTGCTGTTTTAGGGAGTTTTTTTGGTACATTTTTGTTATAATTCTATTAATATAGAAGATATAGTCAACAATATATTTTGGGTTATTTTAAAAGAATTGGTATGAATGTTTTTATGTCATTCTTTTTTATGTTGGGCAATTGCTTACGATTTTTATGTGTGTTACATTGTGTAGTATATATATATATATATAATGCTTGAATCCTTAATTGTACAAAAAAAAAAAAGGTAAAATATGTGTAGGCATATACAAAGAACCTTTGTATCCATGTTGTCAGCATGATGATGAGAGTATTTACTGGGCACAACCATGATCACTCCTCTCGACATTCCCACTGCAATGAAGTTGAGATGAACTGCCACGACTTGAGGCGATCCATAATCCCGCCTGAATGCTTCGGATGAGATGGTCCTTGTGATAGTGTTGTTGACATCAATATCAAAGTATCCCAACACAGTAGAGCCCCTGCGAACGCCCTCAAGCCTCATTGGTTGAGCTGCGGCACCCTCTTCCAAATGCAAGCCTGTGAATGCCTGTTTCTTTTCAAGTTCTTCAGCTAGTTCAAGGGGCTTCATCGAAGAGTGTGATTTCTTGCGTGTCCTTTTATCACTCCTTTTGCTTTCCAGTTGAAGGTCAAAGATATCCAGAGCATCACTAGGTAAACTGGTATAATCTCCAGCTAGACTCGCGCTTCCGTATTTAGACTGAGGTACAACATGCTCTGAATCATGTGTTTTCAAAATGACAATTGTTGAATCCTCTTCAGCATTTGCGCCCTCATCAGAAACATGGGATGAAGGGCTCTGCTTTTCAGATATAGTGGGAGTTATAAGCTCAGCATTGTCATTATTTTTCTCATCTGCTGACGAAGGTGGATCCTTTTCATCTGTAACATCATCAAAATTTAAATCATTCCCACTGCTAACAGGAGAAGTGACGTAGTGTTCAACGTAGGGACTTGATGATGCCACTCTCTCCAAACTATCCACATTAGATACTTGTCCATCATCGGACTCACTCAAATCCCCAATTCTATCTCCACCTCCTGTGGACAACGCCCCACTAGCATCTAGTTTTGGGATCACTTCCACTGCTGCAGATTGGAAGTTGTCCAATTCCACATTATCTTCTTCAACAAATTTCTCATACGACTGACGAATTTCAGAACCAACCTGGTCCGCAGCATTATTTGGACCTCCTAACCCCTCAAAATCAGCACGACCATCCGAAGCAACCTCAGAACCACCACCACCACCACCACCACTCGCTTTCGAATCCAATTCTTCACAACTGTCGAGAACCTTGTTGAAAGTAGCAGAGGACGCTCTTCTAGATTTAATGGCAGCAGCATGCGGTGTCGGAACCAAACGGGAAGCAGCGGCAGCGGCCGCAAGGGCAGCCCCAGGCCTAGCATTTGATCTGACGCTGGCAAACAAAGGCGGTAACGAAAACGCATCGGTGGCACCTGATTTTATCCCACTAACTAAACTAAATTTCGACTCTAGAGAACGCGAATGTGATAATCTTAGGGTTTCCAAAGAATTTAGGGTTTCATCAAGTGAAAGGGTTTTAGGGCTACTTACCGAAACGTCGTCGTTTAGTCGAGAAAGAGTGTCTTCTTGATGGAGAGACGGTGGTTTGGAGTGATCGTTAGAGAAGGGTCCAACGTAGGATAGGTTCGAGGGAAACGGAGAAGCAGGAGCAGACGGTGAAGAAGAAGAAGAAGAAGAAGAGTCGGATTCGTTGAGAAGGATTTCATCGACAGTGCGATGAGTTAGGGAGTGGAGGTCGCCGTCGCCGTCGCTGCTGGAAATGTGTGATTGTAGGAACGCGTCAAGATCGAGCTCCGTCATCGGAGAAGGTGGTCTGTTAGACTTCCTCTGCAGGTCATGTCAATTCACAGCTTCCTTCTTCATTATGGTTGAAGTTGAACTGCAATACCCAAAAAATATTTTTTTGGTTTTATATTTCTGTTTTTTAACCAATAAGAATGTGTATGTACAAATTTATTTTATTTTAATTTATCATTTTTAAGATTGTTTGTTGTAAATATAGATTAATTGAAAATCTCTGATTATAAATTACTATTTTTTTTTTTTTGGGGAGGGGGAAGGGGTCTGATTATAAATTAGTATGTGATATGGTATTAAATAGATTTTTTTGTACCATAACTTAATCCATCATCATTAATATGATGTAAAATTTTTAATAAACTTTTTCACATATCTATTCAGGTTTTAAAATATTTAGATCCCAAACAATTATATATATATATATATATATATATATATATATATATATGTATGTATATATATAAAATATAAAATATCAACAAAAGTGAAAAAGTGAAATTTTTTTGTTTAACTAAAATAACTTTAATTACTTGAGTAATACTCCCATTATCTTTTTCATTTAATGGCAAATACTAATATTATTGAAGTTTACTTACACTATTAGGCTTCTACCTATTATTGAAGTTTACTTACACTATTTGACTTCTAGCTGTTAAGTTACTTTTGTATTTTTCATAAATATATTATATAAGTCAAGTATGAGTTAAAGATGTTCATCGGTCACCTATGAAGTTCGAATACTTTGTTGAGATTGGCGTACCCGTATCGGATACGATATTCATTAGATATTCGATGATACGTATCGGATACCCTTTCTATGTATTCGATAATAATTAAATATTATGATACTTTTGTAGTCGAGAAACATATATAATTTTTAGTTAAACTTTTAACATCTTTTTTAGAATTCACATACCATACAATACATTAATAAAAAATTCATATTACTTCAAAGACACTTGAGTGTTTTTTAAGTATTATTTATAATTACATGTCAAAAGAGCATAAAATAAAGCTATTATATTATAATATTAACAAAAATTACTTCTAAATATTAAGTAAATATTAGTTTTAATTCATTTAATTAGTCAATTTACTTTATGAATATACCACAACGACACGATATATATTTTCTTGAAACTAAAAAGAATTACTAATTTTACTTATTAAATATTACAGAACTACTAAAATATATAAGTACAAAATTTGTTGAAAATAAGAAAAATATTAAATATATTTTATTATAGTCATATATTGGTTAGGGATGACAGTGGATCGAAAAAAAACGGATATTCGTTCAAACCCGTCCCGTTTGGACCAGGAATAGACTATACGTATTAGATGATGGACTTATACGAAGGCACCTTATAAACCCGTGCGGAGGTAGAGGCGAAAATGGACTTACCCGTACCTCTCCCTCCCCCTTATACCTATTAAAAAATAAATATATAGATAAATACTCCCAGGCCCTAAAGCCCTAATTTATTTACGTCTTCCTCTATCAACCTTCAGCTGCCCGCCTCCATCTCTCTCTCTCTGTCTCTCTCTGTGTCCTGCTGCACTCGCTGATCGCTGCCTTGCTCGCAGATCTCGGTTCTACAGGTGCGTTTCTCTCTCAGTCGAATCTCCATCTTCCCTATATTATCTCTTGCTTTTCTTTTTTTCCCCCTTGATTTTTAGATCTTTCTCTCTATTCTGTCCTTGAGTAGATCGTATAAGCCAAAAACATGACCGACTCATAGACATACATACACAATGGCAGACCGTCCAGATTAATGGAAGACAAATTTTCTGATTTTAGCTTTGATCTATTAGANAAAAAAAAAAAGGTAAAATATGTGTAGGCATATACAAAGAACCTTTGTATCCATGTTGTCAGCATGATGATGAGAGTATTTACTGGGCACAACCATGATCACTCCTCTCGACATTCCCACTGCAATGAAGTTGAGATGAACTGCCACGACTTGAGGCGATCCATAATCCCGTCTGAATGCTTCGGNTGATGATGAGAGTATTTACTGGGCACAACCATGATCACTCCTCTCGACATTCCCACTGCAATGAAGTTGAGATGAACTGCCACGACTTGAGGCGATCCATAATCCCGTCTGAATGCTTCGGATGAGATGGTCCTTGTGATAGTGTTGTTGACATCAATATCAAAGTATCCCAACACAGTAGAGCCCCTGCGAACGCCCTCAAGCCTCATTGGTTGAGCTGCGGCACCCTCTTCCAAATGCAAGCCTGTGAATGCCTGTTTCTTTTCAAGTTCTTCAGCTAGTTCAAGGGGCTTCATCGAAGAGTGTGATTTCTTGCGTGTCCTTTTATCACTCCTTTTGCTTTCCAGTTGAAGGTCAAAGATATCCAGAGCATCACTAGGTAAACTGGTATAATCTCCAGCTAGACTCGCGCTTCCGTATTTAGACGGAGGTACAACATGCTCTGAATCATGTGTTTTCAAAATGACAATTGTTGAATCCTCTTCAGCATTTGCGCCCTCATCAGAAACATGGGATGAAGGGCTCTGCTTTTCAGATATAGTGGGAGTTATAAGCTCAGCATTGTCATTATTTTTCTCATCTGCTGACGAAGGTGGATCCTTTTCATCTGTAACATCATCAAAATTTAAATCATTCCCACTGCTAACAGGAGAAGTGACGTAGTGTTCAACGTAGGGACTTGATGATGCCACTCTCTCCAAACTATCCACATTAGATACTTGTCCGTCATCAGACTCACTCAAATCCCCAATTCTATCTCCACCTCCTGTGGACAACGCCCCACTAGCATCTAGTTTTGGGATCACTTCCACTGCTGCAGATTGGAAGTTGTCCAATTCCACATTATCTTCTTCAACAAATTTCTCATACGACTGACGAATTTCAGAACCAACCTGGTCCGCAGCATTATTTGGACCTCCTAACCCCTCAAAATCAGCACGACCATCCGAAACAACCTCAGAACCACCACCACCACCACTCGCTTTCGAATCCAATTCTTCACAACTGTCGAGAACCTTGTTGAAAGTAGCAGAGGACGCTCTTCTAGATTTAATGGCAGCAGCATGCGGTGTCGGAACCAAACGGGAAGCAGCGGCAGCGGCCGCAAGGGCAGCCCCAGGCCTAGCATTTGATCTGACGCTGGCAAACAAAGGCGGTAACGAAAACGCATCGGTGGCACCTGATTTTATCCCACTAACTAAACTAAATTTCGACTCTAGAGAACGCGAATGTGATAATCTTAGGGTTTCCAAAGAATTTAGGGTTTCATCAAGTGAATGGGTTTTAGGGCTACTTACCGAAACGTCGTCGTTTAGTCGAGAAAGAGTGTCTTCTTGATGGAGAGACGGTGGTTTGGAGTGATCGTTAGAGAAGGGTCCAACGTAGGATAGGTTCGAGGGAAACGGAGAAGCAGGAGCAGACGGTGAAGAAGAAGAAGAAGAAGAAGAGTTGGATTCGTTGAGAAGGATTTCATCGACAGTGCGATGAGTTAGGGAGTGGAGGTCGCCGTCGCCGTCGCCGTCGCTGCTGGAAATGTGTGATTGTAGGAACGCGTCAAGATCGAGCTCCGTCATCGGAGAAGGTGGTCTGTTAGACTTCCTCTGCAGGTCATGTCAATTCACAGCTTCCTTCTTCATTATGGTTGAAGTTGAACTGCAATACCCAAAAAATATTTTTTTGGTTTTATATTTCTGTTTTTTAACCAATAAGAATGTGTATGTACAAATTTATTTTATTTTAATTTATCATTTTTAAGATTGTTTGTTGTAAATATAGATTAATTGAAAATCTCTGATTATAAATTACTATTTTTTTTTTTTTGGGGAGGGGGAAGGGGTCTGATTATAAATTAGTATGTGATATGGTATTAAATAGATTTTTTTGTACCATAACTTAATCCATCATCATTAATATGATGTAAAATTTTTAATAAACTTTTTCACATATCTATTCAGGTTTTAAAATATTTAGATCCCAAACAATTATATATATATATATATATATATATATATATATATATATGTATGTATATATATAAAATATAAAATATCAACAAAAGTGAAAAAGTGAAATTTTTTTGTTTAACTAAAATAACTTTAATTACTTGAGTAATACTCCCATTATCTTTTTCATTTAATGGCAAATACTAATATTATTGAAGTTTACTTACACTATTAGGCTTCTACCTATTATTGAAGTTTACTTACACTATTTGACTTCTAGCTGTTAAGTTACTTTTGTATTTTTCATAAATATATTATATAAGTCAAGTATGAGTTAAAGATGTTCATCGGTCACCTATGAAGTTCGAATACTTTGTTGAGGTTGGCGTACCCGTATCGGATACGATATTCATTAGATATTCGATGATACGTATCGGATACCCTTTCTACGTATTCGATAATAATTAAATATTATGATACTTTTATAGTCGAGAAACATATATAATTTTTAGTTAAACTTTTAACATTTTTTTTGGAATTCACATACCATACAATACATTAATAAAAAATTCATATTACTTCAAAGACACTTGAGTGATTTTTAAGTATTATCTATAATTACATGTCAAAAGAGCATAAAATAAAGCTATTATATTATAATATTAGCAAAAATTACTTCTAAATATTAAGTAAATATTAGTTTTAATTTATTTAATTAGTCAATTTACTTTATGAATATACCACAACGACACGATATATATTTTATTGAAACTAAAAAAAATTACTAATTTTACTTATTAAATGTTACAGAACTACTATACTAAAATATATAAGTACAAAATTGGTTGAAAATAAGAAAAATATTAAATATATTTTATTATAGTCATATATTGGTTAGGGATGACAGTGGATCGGAAAAAAACGGATATTCGTTCAAACCCGTCCTATTTGGACCAAGAATAGACTATACGTATTGAATGATGGACTTATACGAAGACACCTTATAAATCCGTGCGGAGATGGAGGCGAAAATGGACTTACCCTTACCTTCCCGTCCCCCTNACGAAGACACCTTATAAATCCGTGCGGAGATGGAGGCGAAAATGGACTTACCCTTACCTTCCCGTCCCCCTTATACCTATTAAAAAATAAATATATAGATAAATACTCCCAGGCCCTAAAGCCCTAATTTATTTACGTCTTCCTCTATCAACCTTCAGCTGCCCGCCTCCATCTCTCTCTCTCTGTCTCTCTCTGTGTCCTGCTGCACTCGCTGATCGCTGCCTTGCTCGCAGATCTCGGTTCTACAGGTGCGTTTCTCTCTCAGTCGAATCTCCATCTTCCCTATATTATCTCTTGCTTTTCTTTTTTTCCCCCTTGATTTTTAGATCTTTCTCTGTATTCTGTCCTTGAGTAGATCGTATAAGCCAAAAACATGACCGACTCATAGACATACATACACAATGGGAGACCGTCCAGATTAATGGAAGACAAATTTTCTGATTTTAGCTTTGATCTATTAGATTAAAATGTCAGATTTTAGCTTTGATCTATCAAATTAACGGAAGACCGTCCATAATTTTCTCAGGTAATTTATGGGT